GTAAGTGCTGAGTAAGTTCTACCCCCTATTCCTGCTTTAAGAACCTCCAAGGTCCTGGGCTTTCACAAAACACACACTGATCACTAGTTTCTCCACAGAAATGAGCTGAAGTGCATCGTAGGCCAAGAGGACTCATCCAAGGCCATGCACTGGACATGTGGCAGCCCTGAGCTTGTGGCCTGGGATTCTGCTCCCATGTGGACCAGCCCAAGATGGTATTCACAGCTGGGGAAGCACAGGGTGAAAGAGCAGCTCCCCCTGTCATGGCCTCAGTCTTCCCCTCTGTAACATGGGGATGATTAGTGAAGATGAGATGAAAGCACACGATGTGAAGAGGCAGCACTCAGGGGCTGGCATGGACTGCTGGGGTGGAAGCCCCACTCTCTACCTAAGCTGGGTGACCATGGGTAAGCCACATCAACTCTCTGGGCTTCCCTTTCCTTCTCTATAAAATGGAGACAGTGAGTACCCCTGCCATATGCTGTGGTGAGGCTTACATGAGGGAATACATACATGTAGGTTCTCAGGATGGCACAGCACACAGTGCCCGTGAGATCCTGCTATGGACTAAGCTGTGCCCCCACCTTCCGATATGTGTGCTGCAGCTCCACCCCTCAACATGACTGTATTCAGAGATAGGACTTCCAGGAGGCAATTACAGTTAAATGGGACCACAGAGGAGAGCCCAGTCCAGCTTCATAAGAGGAGGAAGAAAGGGCACTCTTTCTCTCTCTCTCTCTCTCAATCTCTCTCCCCCCCCCATACACACACATGCATGCACCAAAAAAACACCATATAAACACACAACAAGAAGGCGGCCATCTGCAAGTCAGGAAGAGAGCCCTCACCAGAACCCCAACCTGCTGGTACCTTGACCTCGAACTCTCAGCTGCCAGAACCATGGGAAGATGAATTTACCTTGTCTAAACTACTTAGTCCATGGCATTCTGTGATGACAGCCCGAGCTGACAGATCCACAGCTCGCTAAGAACGCCCTGCTTTTTTGCCTAGTGCCTCACATATGGCAAGTGCCCAGTTAATGTCTGCTGGGTACCAGACTTTCTGCCATAATAAGAGTGGCTGTCAAGGCCAGCAGCCTCATCAGCAAAATGTGGCATCTTTACAGGAGTAGCAAAAAAAATCCTATTGGTTGGCCATGGTGTGGCTTCAGTGGACTCTCTATAAGCCAAAACAACCCACACAAGGGCCTTTCCCAGCCGGCTGGAGCTCAGGGTCACGGACTGATTGTTTCAGGCAGTTTCAGGACTGCAGACCATGGCTTCCTAGGAGAAAAAGCTCTTCCTCCCCCTGGTCCAGGCAATAGCCGCCCTGGAGGCCCAGTGACTGGTGTTTGTGGTCCCCAGCAGGGAGAACAGGGCTGTATATGGTGTTCGCGTGGAAACATACCCTCAGACCCAGCAGACACTGTGCCAGTGCTGCTGGTACTCCTGGACACCCCATCCCAGTGATTCCTCATTTGTTGGGCAGAGCGAGGGGCTGGCAGGCTGTGCCCCCCAGCCCCGGCCAGTCATGTGGTAAGGGAGGGAGACCACATCCAATTGCCTCGCATTATTGCCTGCTTAGATCTGTCCAGAAGCCCCCAGAGGGCAGGGTTATGACCATCCTGTTCTCTCCTGGATCCCCAGAACCCAGAAAGTGAGGTATTCAAGTATAGGGGTGTCAAAAACATACACATATTTTCTGGATCCCCAGAACCCAGAAAGTGAGGTACTCAAGTATAGGCGTGTCAAAAACATACACATACGTTTGCTCAAAAGATAGCATTCATCAACTGAATGCTAGCATCACCATGCAACAGGCAGGTCAAAAGAAAATGGCAGAAGCATGGTTAAGCAAATGCCATACTGCACATTTCTACTGTTACTTAATTCAACTTTGAAAAGTAACACACAGATAACATCGCTTAAAATGTGTATATATTTTTTTCGGCACCCCCTGAATTTAGTGACTAGAGAATTGTTCTGTCTGAAAAGTGCCAGAAGCTCATCAACTGGCACACAATACATGATGTTTAATACATGCTAGCTCTGTCTCCTTGACCCTGGAGTGACTGACTATTCCAGGACCCCAGGGACTCTGGCACCTACAACCTTTCTAGAACATTGCTTTACAGTCCCAAGAGGCAAGGCTAACAGAAGCCACATGATCAAAGCACATTACAACCTGAACAGACATTTACTGAGTGCCTACTGTATGCCACACAGTGTGCATAGACCATAACTAAGTCATCTTGTTTGCTACTCAGATCAACCCTGGGAGGTACATGCCATCACCCAGCTTGTGGAGGGGAAGCAGAGGTTTAGGGAGGGAAAGCAGCGGCCCAGAGGCAAAGGGCTGGTGGGTGGTAGAACTCAGACTCAAATTCAGGTCTCCTGGACTCCAGAGCCTCCCAATCTGTCCTGACTCCCCAGAAGAGCTGTCCATCGGTCTGGCTGGACTCCTTCCTGGACACTGAAGCCACCCTGCTTATAAGCTGACCAGCAGGATGGTTTCTCCCATCTTCGCAAGGCCCCTGTTCCATTATGGCTCCTCTGGCCCTGTGAATCCTTCTAGAGGTCGCCTCATGAGACTGTGAGCTCCACTCACCCCCGATAAGCACACTCAGAGGTACCCTCCAGCCACAAGCTGCTACAAAGTCCAAGGCAGAGATAGAATGAGTGACAGACCAGAGTGGGACACACAGACATTTTCTTGGGTGCCGTGTCCCCAACTTGCTCCAGGTTCCTGCAGACCTTTGCTCACACCAGGACTCGGTTTCATCAGCCACCTGCACTCCTGTTCTTCATGCAGGAGGGGGAGGAAGAGGAGGAAGTGGTGTATGGTTTACAAGGGCAACATCTGGCAACACATCTGCAGGGACACAAAGGGAGCTTCCCACTGGCACAGGATGTGGGGTGTTCCCGAGGAGGACAGAGGACACAGAAGACGGAGGAGGCTGGCTGTACTGGCTCTGTTGTGGGTCGAGCCCAGGGGAAGGTTCTGGAAGCTGGAGGAAGGAGATGCCCTCCCCTCCCCCCACAGCAAGAGGCACTGTCCCCAGGATGGGCAGAGCTCTCTGGGGCAGGACTCGGGGGTATGGGGAGGACCTGGGAATCATCTGGCTCAGCCGTGCCTCCACCCTGGAGGTGACCTGCCCAGAGACACCACAGCTACTTCTCTGGTAACATTAACTCCCAGCATAAGGACGAGGAGAAGAGAGCTGGTCCTGGGTCCTCCCTGCCCACCCTGCCAAGCTCAAGGCTGAAAGGGGATCCTGGTCCCACCTGGATCCCCAGAACAAAGAGTCGGGTATCCAGAGATCCAGGGTCTCTAAGTCTCTGCAAGTGGTGGCCACTTATAGGGCAGGAGAGACCTAGGGACAGTCCTGTTCCCAGCTTTCCTGCAGACTATGAACGGCAGGAAGCTGTGGTGCTAGGACATAGAAGAGTGACCAGTGGGGGTGGCCACAGGGCCCCAGAAGGGCTCACTCTACAAAAGAGGATCCTGAAACCCACCCCGTGGGGCTGGAGGACACACACACAGAAGTCCCCGAATGGTGACCTACTGCTCACCCCAGCTAGTGCATCTCCCTGGCCAGCCATGCCTGCCCTGGACCAAGGCTGCACCTCCCTCAACATGACTAAACCTCGGCACTCCTTGGCATCTGGTCTCCAGGTCTTACGAACTTGAAATACCTACAGTAACCATGGAGTGGGTTACCAGATCCAGGCCAATGTGGACACATCAGTGAACCTGGACTAGTGACGTGATGGCCCAGGTCCTCAGGGCTATCCAGGCCAGACTCAAAATCCGTGTCTTCATGAATGAACCTATACTAGTGATGTGACGGCTCCGGTCCTCAGTGCTACCCAGGTCAGACTCTAAGCCTGTGTCTACACGAGTGATCCTGGGCTAGTGAAGGGATGGCTCAGACCCTCAGGGCTACCCAGGTGACCCTACATCAAGGGGATGCCATGAGCATGCCCTGCAGACTGGCACCCAGAGCCCCAAGGACTTCCAGTGATCCCAAACCCAGGGGCCTCTCTCAATTCACTCACTTGGCAAGTACCTAAGCACCTACTACATCCAGAACTTGCACCAGGGCCCAGTAGTAAACACAGCAGTGGAAGGTATCCACCTCTCTCAAGTCATTCACTTGACAGTTACCTAAGCACCTCCTGTGTGCCACAACCAGCACTGAAGATGCAGCAGCAAATGCAGTAAGCAAAGGCAAGTGCCCTGGCAGAGTTTTAGTGGCGGGAGACACACAAGTTAAGAAAACATGAGATGTTTTAAAGGAGGCAGTTGTGGAGGCACACTGATGAGACCACATTTAAGCAGAGACCAGAAGCAGGTTTGAGTGAGCATGCGGACGCCAGGAAAGGTGCTTCTCAGTAGAGGACCTGAGGCAGAAGCACACCTGGGGCTTCTGGAAAGGACAGCAAGACCAGTGGCTAAGCATAGGGCATGGGTGACAGGTGAGGCCAGCAGGTACTGGCAGCAGGTCATTCCAGGCCTTGGGGTCAGACTCCAGGTGCAACCAGAGGAACCAAGTGAAGTGGTGCTGTGACCTGACTTATGTGCAGGTAGGAAACATCCTCAAAGGTATAAGGACAACTTGGAGCCTTAGGGTATTCTGTGCCAGTGAATACTAAGCCACTGCCCTGCTGCCAGGGTCAGGAGGCCAAAGCAGCTGTGGAAACACAAATACCCCAGGAGCTTCGTCACATTCGAAAGACAGACCGGCTTCTCCAAGCACTTCGGTGTGGTCACTTGGTGTCTGGCCTCGTTGCTGGCCTGCTGCTCTGGGCCCCTGGCTCCCTGCACCTGTGCCTGTACTCCCCTTGCTCCAGCCCCATTCCGTGCCCACTGGTGACCTGACATCAACCCTGCCTGCCCTCCACTGGTCTCAAGGTCCCAGCCTTTGTCCTGGAGACCCAAGCTTCATCTTGATGGGACTCCCGAAAGCTCCGCCTGAAGCTGTGCACCCCAGAACTCACCAGGCATGGAGAAGGGGGACAGGAAGGCGGTCTCTATGGGCTCTGGCTCCGGGGGCGGTGGCGGTGGCTCCTGTTCCCGTGGCAGGCACTGGGGATCTTCCACGGGCACGTTCCCGTTCTCCACACTCTCATGCCTCCCGTTCTGCAGTGGCTTGCTGCTCACACCATTGGCTGAGTTGATCAGTCTCTGCCGCTGTGTGGATGGGGCAAGGTAGACACCCATGTATGATGAGCTTCCCCTGTGCCCTGTCCCCTCAAGCTTCCAAAGGCTTCCCTGTGTCCTATCCCCTTATGCGCCCAGTTCTCGTGGGCTCCCAGAGAAGCATCCCCTGAGACAGGCTCACCTGAAGGTCAGCCCAGGCCCCCAGAATCCATCTATTCTGTCCACCTCTACTCGGGGGCTGCCAGGAAGTCTCTGAGGATTGACCAGGGGCCCGGGCCCCTTCCCAGAACTGGCTCAACATCCCAGCCCATGACTCCAATGACACCCACCATCTCGGGTGCTCCCCACAGTGTTCACGGCCACCTGCAGATAGGACAGGAAAGGCCCTGCGTGGCTTCCTTAATTTTTAATTTTTAGTCGTGTCATGCAAAAAGCCTGCTTACATTAGGTGCACAGCTCAGTGACACCATACCCCATGACACAGGACATTTCCAGCCCCAGAAGACCCCCACAGGCACTCTCCCAGTCGACAGCCTCCACTCCAGAGATAACTAAGGTAACCACTATGTTGGCATCTATAAACATCTGTTAGTTTCCCCTGAACTTGAACTTCACATAAATGGGCTCAAGTATTGCATACTATTTTTTGTCCGGCTTCTTCCATGCAACCCAGCACTCATGAGACGCATGTCTTGCTGTGTGAGTTGGGAGTCTGTCACTTTCTGTGGCTGTGTGGTCTCCATTGTATGAAGGGCCCATGATACAGCCTTTGCCTGTTAATGGCACTTGGGTTGTTTCCCCTTGCTGGTTATTATGCAGAACAAAGCTGTGAACACTAGTGGGCATGTCTTTTTGGAGACACACACACTTGCTTCTCTTGGGGATGACCTGGGAGTGGCACCGCTAGCCCACAAGGGGGGTGCATGTTGACCCCCCTCACATTGACACCCATAACAACCTAGAACTTCAGCTGCCTCCACCCTCGTCAAGACTTGATAGTCCTGAGGGGGACACCTGACCTTGCTTTCTCTTATCCACAACCCTAACTCAGAGGCCTGGGAATCCACTGCCTGATACGGACTTGCCAGATGGAGTTTTATTACCCTATCACCCTACATCCTAGAGTCTGTTTTCCAGCCTGACTCTGGCATAACACCACATAACAAATAAAGAAGAAAATCAAAGTATTTTACAGCCCTGCAAAGCCATTTCTTGGGGCCTCCCAGAGTCCGGGAACCTTGTAAGACCCTTATCTATCCTCCCTAACATCATATATAGAACTTCAGCTACACATCAACAAACCTGGAGTTTTCTGCCTCCTCATCTCAGCAAAGCATCTTCCTACTGATATACACATTCCTTAGTCAGGGATTACAAATGATCAGTCAAGAAATCTTAAATTCACCTATGACCTGTAAGCCCCACTTGGAAATGTCCCTCCTTCCTAGGCCAAACCAGTTAAACCACACATGTATTGATGTATGGCTTCCTGTAACTTCTGCCTCCATAGAATGTACACATCCAGGCCACCATCTGAACCACAGAGGGCACACGTCCTCAGGACCTCCTGGGTATGGTTGTCACAGTATGGCTCAAGCTGGAAACTACATGGTGACTCAGCTGAAGGCCACTGAGAGGATTAAAGTTGCAAGGCATGTCGGTAAGTGCTTGGCACTGCCCAGCACACAGCAGATGCTCAGTAGTTGCAACCCATTTTACTGGTTTAGCACCCTGGGGTGGAGCCATTGCGGGTGAAGGAGGTGGGTGACTGGGTGGGATGGGATCATAAGAAGGAAAGGGGATGCAAGGTAGGTGAGTTTCTGGGCCCCTTGGCAGTTTTGAGTGAGGACAGTCAAGTCAGATTGGGGTAAGCTTGGCATGAAGGAAAAACACAGCCCTCCCTCCCGGCCCTTCACCCCACAAGTGCTCACCCCTACAAGCCCACTCCCCGTTGCTCTGCCCTCTCTGGAAGTGAGTATACAAGGGTACCACTCCACAGACATTGTCACCATGAGTAATTTCAGCTTTGCAAATATCTCTGTAACATTCTGGAATTAAGGTGACTGAATAATGTGGAAGTCAGACTTATACAACAAGACCCACATTGTGTTAACTTCCAGCTTACCAATGAGACGCCAACAATCAAAGTTGAGCACCAACCAATCAGAACTGCCATGTTTCAATCTCTCATTCACATGGTGGGAACTAACACCAATCAATCAGAACCCCATGTTTCAATCCTTCATTTGCATGCTGGGAACTAACACCAACCAATCAGAACTGCCATGTTTCCATCCCTTATTTGCATGGCAGGAACTAACACAGACCAATAAGAACTGCCATGTTTCCATCCCTTATTTTCATGGCAGGAACTGACACCAACCAGTCAGCACTGCCAAGTTTCCATCCATCATTTGCATGATGAGAACTAACACCAACCAATCAGAACTGCCAAGTTTCCATCCTTCATTCACATGGTGGGAACTAACACCAACCAATCAGAACTGCCATGTTTCAATCTCTCATTCACATGGTGAGAACGAACACCAACCAATCAGAACTGCCAAGTTTCCATCCTTCATTCACATGGCGGGAACTAACACCAACCAATCAAAAATGCCATGTTTCAATCCCTCATTTACATGATGGGAACCGACAAGGGGCCAGTGATCCTATAAAACAACCTCAAATCATCGCCTCGGGACAGACAGCCCTTCCAGCACTGCCCTGCCCACTGTTCCCTCACAGGGCATTCAGTAAACCCGACCTTCTCTACTCTAATCTGACTCAGGTGAATTATTATACTACCCACAACTCCAGTCGATTGGTTACACCTACAACAAAGAAGAAATAAGGCAATGGGTCTTGATAAAGACCTTCAAGCTTTGTGGGGTTTGTCCTCCCTACTCCCACTCCAAGATGAACTCCCTGAAGTCACCATGTAACCCCTAGACATGGCCTCTGGTGCCCGTCACTGAAGTCTACTGAAGTCCTCTCTCCCTGAACATCCTCAGATCGAGCAGGTTCATGGCTGTTGTAAGATGAAAACAGAATTCCTGCCTCCCCATGCAGCCCTCCAGGTTCCCCACGCTGCCCTCCAGGTGGGCATGTCACAAGGCTTGGATGATGAGGTCTTCCTAGCGGCTAGAAACATTGGGACGGAATGGCCGGTGCCTTACCAACCTCTCCAGGCCTATTCTTTTCCTGGCTGCGAATGCCACAAACAACATACTACAAACGCTGCTCCACATTCTTATAGTTGTTCAGTCCCCACCCCCAGCACCACACAGGCACAGTAATCTCACATGTGCAAAATGGCCAATATTCAGTAAAATTTCACTGATTCAAATTGCACTGGCTTGAACCAAAATGACTCAGGATGATTCAAAGGTGCTTCTCTCTCTTAATGCACTTTTTACAGAGAGGGGTCTTTGCTTGTAAAATCCAAGCAGAAATGTTTAAGACACAGGATGCTTAAGCACAGTGAGATATCGTTCTTGCAGACAATCTCTATGCTGACTACTTCCCATCAGCAATCAAGGTTTAAAGCCTGCAGGCCCCGTATGCTTCTGAGAATAAGGACCTCAAATTCCAAAATGCACATGTGCAGCAAAGATTGGAAATGTCAGCAAGCAACAAGCCAACTGTCTTTGCTGTAATGTTTATGTGGGAGATATTAAAATTCATATTTTTCCACAGGAGGAAGAGCCACACATCACGACCTTTAAGGATAGTGAGAGTGACAAGAAGTGCCAGAGGTCATGATCCTTACTGGTGTCTGGGTTTCCTTCTGAAGATGTTCTGCCCACAGAGAACAGTTGTGCACTTACCTTTTTTGTCTTTCTTAACACTTTAAAGAAGTGATCTGTACTCCAGACTGGCCTCTCTCCAGTTAGTTCTACTCTAAAGCCTGACAAAGTACCAAGTAAGCATCTCAGGTGCAGCATTTGATGGTTGCCTGCTTTAAATCCCTGGAAGAATAACTTGCATCTGTGGGTGGCAGGTGGCTTCTAGGGGGCCCAGGGCATCCTTCCTCAGCAGATGCCTGAGGATCTGCCCAGAAACAGCCCTCGAGAGCCAGAGCAAGGACACACCTGTGATCACTCCCTCCTGTCCTGCCAGTACCCACCTCATTAATTATGATCCTGCTGGCCATCCGCAGCCGGGTCCTGGGCCCAAACTTGTTGGTGATCATGACACGCAGTCCGGCATCCGGGAAACTGAACTTGGGGGGGCTGGAGCTCACGAGCTCATCCACCATCACCACGGGGCTTCCACTGTAGTGTGGTTGCTCCTTCACTGCATAGCACAGAGGCACAGTCAGCATCCGGCCCACTGACAGCCCCTGTCCTGCCTGCGTCCCCAGGCTGTGGTCCCGGCGACCACCTGGAGACTGTGGGCCGGGCCTTACTTCTCCACCTGTCAAGGTGGGTCACTGGCTCCCATGGACCCAGTCCAGCCCCTCTGCCTCTGACACCTCCTTCCTCTTCTGGGCCCAGTCCTACTCATGCCAAGGAGCTCCCAGTCCTCTAACTAGGCCTCACCAGGGCAGTCTACCTACAACACAGGCAGGGCCTTTTGTCCATGACTGCAAGGGGACCTTTCTCTCCCCTGTTGACAGAGGCTCAGATGAAATTCTACAGACAGACAAGGATCCCAGGAGCCAACAGTGCTCGAAGCAGCAGATACCGGTGCAAACCTCTTGCTCTATCTCGATGGTCCCACCCTCCAGTGAGGCTGTCTCTGACTCTCTTCACAGAAGAGGCCCGAGTCAAAGATTCAGATCACAGGTCCCAGACAAGCAACCAAGGCTCAGGAGAGGAACCTGCAGGGCTGAGGCGCGAGGTGACGCTGACAAACCCTGGCCCCTCCAGGAGTGGTTGCAGGGACGTTCTGACCTTCCCTTCCCTTACGAGGCTTCAGGGACTTCCCAGTGCCACGATCTCTTCCTCGCCCCCTGCAAACATGCAGGTGCCAGGACCCTGGGGCTAGACGCTGGACTTCAGGCCCTGGGGAGTCTCTAGTCACCACCTGCTCATGGACACAGCACGCAGAAGCAGGAAGAGGCCCCCCAAGGACTGCTGCATGAATACACCCGTCCCTCTACACTGGTTACAGCTGTTCCTCTCAGGAAACCAGGGAACAGTTGCGAGAGTTAATGGCATAGAAACGCACACCAGACAGGCACACTCCGCACCACACAGTAGCAAGGCTCAGCAGACAGGAGGCGTGTGGTTAGACACGAAGCCAGGAGGACATGCATCTCTGGGTGGGATGTGGCCTCCGTGAAGGCAGGTGTCGCCTGGGCTCGTGGAGGTCGTTTGCCTTAAATGCATGTATTACGCGTGGTGAAGCCGACTACTTACAGTTGAGGAGTTAGGAAGGCCAAGGCACAGAGATTGCCAGAGGTGATTAGCGCGGAGGTGAGCATCTGGCGGCATTCTTGACTCAGCAGAGGCACCAGGGGGTTACATGGAGTGGGTGTTAGTAGAGCCTCCTTCTATGGGAGTTTCAGGGCCTCAGGGGGCTCCACTCCTGGCTGGACTCACTGGCTCTGCTGTCTGCTGAGGACCAGGAGCCTCTGCCTCATGCCTGCAGCCCCCACTGCTGGGGAAGGAGGAAGGGAGGACCACCCCAGGAGAACGAACCCCTCCTGCTCAGGAGGGAGGGAGGGAGGGAGGCCAGTCGGCTGATCCCAGAAGAGTCAGCCCTGGCAGTCTCTGCTCAAGGGCACAACTGTACTTGAAGGGAGCCTGGGCCACAATGCCAGGTTCTCCACCTCTTGTCTTGGTGCCAAGAGACAGAGCATGGCGGCCTGTCCCATCCCAGAAGGGAATTCGACAGCTGCATGTCTTTCCAGGGGTTCAGCCAGGTTGTCAGCACCCTGACCTCCCTATCGCCAGCCAGAACTATACCCAGGGAGACCTGGAAGGGCCCAGCAAGCCTCCCGGGCAGACATGGCACTGGAGCAGGTGACCCTGGCCATCAGACTGTGTGTGAGGCCACCTGAGCACCAGCTGGGACACTGCTGGGCTAAGCTGCATGGCCTTTACAGACATCTTGACACACGTCTGCATTTTACAAGAGTGGAGGGAAGAGGCTTTTCCTTCTCCCATCGAGAGTGTGATGATAAAAACTGTGATTTTTGTATAGAAACACAAAAACAGATACAGCAGCTCGGGTTTGGGAGAGAGCTTGTGCTCCTGACTTCCTGGCAGCAACCCTGGTGGGCCTCCTGGTGGAGTGGGTGGCTATGCAGACACCTGCCAGGGCCTGAGGCAAGAGGGAAACTCTGATGTCCCTCCCACCAAAATCCATCCTTAGAAAAGAAAGGTCCTGAAGCCCTGGGCTCCTCAGTTCTGCAGGGGTGTCACCAGGCTCCCACCTTCTTCAGCTGATCTCTGTGGGGATGCCACCCTGCAGGGACTCACACTGGGGCCCCTTACGATGGGCTGCAAAAAAGTGTGGAAAACCCCAAAGTTCATGTCTCCAAATGCCCCTCAGATTCCCAGATGCCAGGTCTGTGCCCCCTCTTCCTTCTCGGGGGCCATCTGCTCCCTCGGCCTTTACCTAAATGCTTTCGTTCTCACAGAAGCTGCTGGAAGACCAGATGCTCCCACCTTCCCTGAGCTTGGGGGTCATCCTATGTCCAACCTTCCAGTTTTCCAGAAATTGTTCTGGACTTAAAAGATATTTAGGAGATAATAAACTCGTGGGGACGTCCTCGTGTCGTGGGCACTAGTGACAGAGATAGTCACAACAGAGCACGAGAAAAGGCTTGTGGACAGCAGCCTCTGGGAGCCTGGAGGTCCTGCAAAGGGAAGGCACTGGGGGGTTCCCTCCAGCCTGAACCAGTCACTGCATGGTACTTCCTTGCCATGAAAGCCCCAGGACCCATGCAACTCAGCAGGAGCTGGCCTCCATCCTGCCAGACTGCCTGGGAACCAACTCCCCTGAAGGGTGAGGGAGGGTGAGAGGGAGAGGTGTCTCCACCCTCCTGAAGGGTGAGGGAGGGGGATAGGTGTCTCTGCCCCCTGAAAGGTGGGGAAGGGAGAGGGGGATGGGTGTCTCTGTCCCTCCGAAAGGAAAAAGGGGGAGGGGGAGGAGGAAATGTGTCTCTACCCTCCTGAAGGGTAGGGGAGGGGGTGGGTGTCTACATCTCCTAAAGGGTGAGGGAAGAGGAGGGAGACAGGTGTCTCCACCTCCCTGAACAGGGGGAAGGAGGGGAAAGGAGATGGGTGTCTCCATCCCCTGAAGGATAAGGGAGGGGGAGGGGTATAGGTTTTTCCACCCCCCCCTGAAGTGGGGAGGGATGGGAAGGGGAAGAGGTGTCTCCACTACCACAAGGGTGAGGCACAGTGAGGGAAATGGGTGTGTCCATCCCCCTGAAGGGTGAGGGATAGGGAGGGGACAGGGTGTCTCCATCCCTCCTGAAGGGTGAGGGAGGAGGAGGGAGATGGTTGTCTCCGCTTCCCTGCCACACACCCTGGAGCCGTTACCAAGTAATACAGATTCCAACTCCAAGGGCCCCAACATGGGTCCACAGTCCCCTGGAGACCACCTAGGCACCACTGACATCACAGGTGAATTGACTCAAAAGAGGGTGAGATTTACCCAGGCACGGGAAGAAGGGGAAAGCCCATGGACTCACCAGGTACTAGCAGCTGGGGGCCTTCAGCACACTGGACCATTCTAACTGCAAGCGCCTGGCCCAAGTCCTGGGAAGGGTGGTGCTACCTGCCTGGCAGCCATACCCAGGGAACTGTTTGGTCACAGGTGACCACTGAGGCTCCTGAGGATGCCCTGGGGGAATCTGGCAAAAGATGGCAGGGCCTGGTGGCCCAAAGCCCCCCATTCCTAGGCGAGTGACTGACCTGGGTGTCTGCCTAGTCTCTGCAGGCATACCTCTCCTGGGTGACTATTCCCAGCCTGCAAGTCAGTGCTCTCTCTGGAACAGAGTGCCCAAGGACCGGCTGGCATGTGGGAAACCCAGGCTGGGCTGTCCCATGTGCTCAGTGTCCTGTCACCCCTTCAGCGGTCAGGGACACACTGTATCTCTGAACAGCCCATAGGCTCAGGCCATCCTCAGAGGCTTGGGAACCCCAGGATGTGACTACTGGCTCCTTCCCACTGCATCTACCTGCGCCCTCCCCTGCCTGTGCCAAGCCAATCGAGTAATGCCTCTGACGCTGAGTCTCCTTGTACAGCGTGACTTTGACCAAAGGTGAAAGAATGATTATTTGGGGGCACAGTGTGTGCCTGGGTGCATGCATGTGTGTGCATGTATTGTGCAAGTGTGTGCACGTGCAAGTGTGTGCCAGTATGTGTATGTATGTGCACGTGTGTGTCTGTGTGCACATGGGCATGTGTGTGCTTGTGCGTGCATTTGTTTGCCTGTGTGCACCTGTATGTATGTATGTGTGCCTGTGTGCACGTGTGTGCCCGTGTGTCTGTGCATGTATATGTGTGTACATGTGAGTGGTTGTGTTTGTGAACACGTGTGCCTCTGACCACATGTGCATGTACATGTGTGTCCACGTGTGCGCCTTACACTGTGTGTGCTTTGCACACGTGTGTTTACATGTGTGTCCTGCATGTGTGTGTGCGTGTACATGCGTGCCTTGTGCACGTGTGTGCACATGGGAGAGAAGAGGGGGCCTCCTGTCTGCTCAGCCTTACCTTGCCCCAGCAACGGCATGGAAGGGTCATCATAGCGACTGTCACAGAAATCATTACCAGCCTCCAGCTCACTGCTGACTGGGTTGCCATTGGCAATGGTCTTCTGCTTGATAGTGAAGAAGGCTTGCATCTTCACGTTGTACCTGGAGCAGGGGAGTAGGAGGTCAGAGCAGGCAGGACCACTCCCAGGCAGGCAAAATCTGCTAAGCCACACCCCATTCCTGTATGCACCCTCAGCACAGTCAGAGCGGTAGGCTGAGGAGGAGAAGCCTTGGCTGTTAACTGAATCTTGGTTCCCAGCAGGAGCCTGGAAAAAGTGTGTGGTCTGGGGGACCTCCTGGGGCTGGGTATCCTGGGATGTAAGAGACCCTTCACCCAAGAGAGCCACCGAGGCCGGCTTCAGGACAGGCTCACTCCCAAGCCTGTGCTGAGGAAGCTCAGCCCAACTTCCAGGAAGGGCTAGATAGGGCGTCACCGGCCTGTCCCATCCCCAGCAGTAAATCCTGCTCATGAGGGCTGCATGGGGCTGGCACTGACACCCCAATGAAGGAGGCTCTGTCTCAGGGACCCTTGGGCCAGCTCCTCTCCGAAAGGCATTCGGGAGACATCATTTAAGGACAGTTCTCTCACAGTCTGACAGTTTATTGCCGTTTCATCGTTTCATAAAGCATTACAGAGGTCTTCTAGAAACAAGGAGATTTATGTCCTCATAGACCCCAGAGCGTGGGCTTTCCGTTTAATGCCTGTGGTGGACAGGGAGTAAGGGGGGCCTGAACTGGCTCCTGCACAGGAGGCCTTCTCTTCCTTGGCAGAAAAGCACATGCATGTGTCACAGAGTCAGCCATCCTGACCCTTCCCAACTGTAAGGGACACTCAGCGGCATTGCTCACGGGCACCCTGCCATGCAGCCACCACCGCCACTTCCACAACACCCTCCTCACCCAGAGGGCTGCAGCCCCCACTCACCAGAGGGCTGCAGCCCCCACTCCATCCCTGTCTGACTTCCCCTCTGCATCCCATTTCTAGAGCCAGCCCATCTAGGTCCCACACATGGGCGAAGCCTGCCAGCATCTGCCTTCTTCAACTGGCTTCTCACTCAGAATGGTGATTTCAAGGCTCCCCCCGACTTCCCATCTGCATCCCATCTCTAGGAGCAGACTTCTCTAGGTCCCACATGTGGGTAGAGCCCAATAGCATTGCCTTCTTCAACTGGCTTCTCACTCAGCATGGTAGTTTCAAGGTTCTCCCTGTAGCCAGTCAGAACTTCATGGTTTTTTTTTATGAGTGAATACTATTCCTCACAGGGGTTTTTGAGATGGTCTGGGCAGTGTCTGGAGGGCTCAAGGTCATACAAGCTGGACAGGTTTGAACCCCTGGTTGTGCACAGCAGTGACTTTGAGCAGTGGTGTTTTATGAAGCCTGGGGCAGAGGTCAGGCTCCCAGCTTTCTCAGAAGGGTGGCATGACATTATCAGAAGATTCATGAAATAGTCAGTGGGTGGAGCCATTCCCCTGGGGCCTGTGACACTACTCGTGCAGAGCGGATGGAGGCCTGAGTGTGGGACTCGTTTGGGGAGCAACCTCACAGTCCATGTGCCTGCCCCCAGCATGCCCCTGGCCTGGGTCTGGACAGTACCCCAAGGGTCTGATCATCTCTTCCCACTCTATCTGTCCCCAGGGGGGTCACTCAGGGACCTGGGGCCAAGGAGGGGACAGAGGCTTCCTCCCACTCTCATGGATCAAGGGTGGGATGAGGTGCCAGGTGGCCAGGCAGGATGAGAGAATACTTACTTCATAATCAGAATGTAGAACCCATACAGCACGATGAGCACCAGGCCTTCCCACCTCAGAGAGAGAAGGGATGGGTTAGAGCAGGGGGCGAGGTATGTGAAGACAGGACCAAGGGGTTGGGAGGGGGAGAGGGACAGGGGGTCTCCACCTCCTCTGAAAGATGGAGGAGGGAGAAGAGGGGAAGACAGGTGTCTCCACCCCTCCTGAAGGATGCAGGGGGGAGGGGGTGTCTCCACTCCCCTGAAGGGTGAGGGACAGAGAGGAATGGGGTGTCTCCACCTCTCTATAAGGATGTGGGAGGGGAAAGGAATGGGGTGTCTCCAGCCCTCTGTCCCAGGGCCTGGTCAGAACCCAGGCACTCAGGAGAGATGACCAACCCGTGGCTGTCTCACCAACAGAATTCCCCAGGTGACTGAGTGAGATCAGGCTGGGGGATTCTTCTGACTCTGAGGTCCACAAGGCTAAGGCAGGGCTTCCCAGCTTCCCAAGAAGGGAGCGATTGGGACACCTGGTCTCCCAGGAAAGGAGAACCTGGGCACCCGGCATCCCCTTAGGATGTGCCATGATTACTCTCCTGTGTGCAGCCCATGGGTACCATGACCACATGCCCGAGGGGCACCCCCTAGACAGCAGAGCCAGGACTTCCCAATGGCCCAGCACCACCCCCAGCTCATCTGATGACTTCGGATGATGCCCTTTTCGCCTTCACAAGTTAGTAACTTATGTTTGTAAGAAGAATCTAGCAAACTCAACAAACAAGGGTACCGGAAATTAATGACAGCAACAAAAAAGAACAATGAAGAATGAACACTTACCACACAATTTCTTCATCATATATGAACTAGAAGACAAAAGAAACAGGGTGGAAGGCACAGGTTTACTCCAGAGGAAGCACTGGTGCAGACCCTGAGCCCCAGAACCAGCCCTGACCTTGCTCCATGTCACCGCAAGCTCCATGTCACCACAAGTGGGCCTCCCACCATCTCTGTGCCCCATCTCCACACGAGCTGAGGCCTGGGTCAGCAGGATGCTGCCACCTGTGTCCCGGTCTAGCATGTCCCCAGAGAAGCGGCCTGCGCTTCAAGTAGTCCAAGGGGCTGCTGGGGACTCGGCAGAGCCTTCCTCATCACAGAACAGACACCTCACAGATGGAAGAGATAGCTACTTATGCCTGCATGCTTGTGTGTAAGGTGTATGTGTCTATATATGTGTATGATGTGTGTGTGTGTGTGTGTGTGTATGGGGGGGACCTAAAAAAACCCAGAATTTGTGTATAAAAAAACTGTGTATTTATTCTTACATGTTTAAACTTCAGTCACCTTCTAAGTCCTCTCAGTTTGATATAATACACCTATTAGGATGCTTTTTCCACTGCTCAAAATAGTTTTTGAGCCTTTTAGTGCTTCTGCCGTTTTCTGTCTGATCTCTTCCATATTGGTAAAAACATTTCCCTTTGAGGACTTTTTCACTGAGGAAAAAAACAAAAAGTCGCTTGAGGCAAGATCAAGTGAATAGGGAGAGTGGGGTACAGGGGTCATGTCGTTTTTTGGTCAAAAACTTTTAAACACTGTGTGGTGTGGGTAGGTGTGTTGTCCTGCTGGAAGAACTAATCACCTGTTTGCCACAGCTCAGGACGTCTCTTCCACAAATTGTGACACAATCTTCTCAAAACTTCCAGATAAAACCAATAGGTTCCTAGAATACTCAGCTAGTGGGGGAAGCCTGTCTACAAGGGGCCTGCTCTCTAAAAGATGATTCCAATTTTTTTCAGGTCACCCCTCATCTATGTGAATATATGTGCATGTGTGTATATATGTATATGCTATGTATGTGTATACATGTATGTGCATATATATGTGCGTATGTGTGGCACCTATATGTGTGTGAGGTGTGTGTATATGTATATGTACATGTGTTGTGGTGTATGTGTGCATATGCATGTGTATGTGTGTATGGTGTGTGTATAGGGTATGTGTATATGTGTGTATGAAGTGTGTGTATACGTGTATATGTGTGTGTATATGTGTATATATGTGTGTGGTATGTGTGTATATGTGTGTATGGAGTGTGTATACGTGTGTGTGCCATGTATGTGTGTATACATGTACATGAGTGCATATGTATGTGGGTATGTGAGTGTATGTGTGTATAGGGTGTGTGTGTATATGTATAGAGATGTGTTATGGTGTGTATATGTATGTATGTGTGTGCATATGTGTGGTGTGTGTGTATATGTATATATGTATGTGAGTGTATGTATATATACTTCTGTTGTGTGTGTGTATGTGTGTGTATATATGTATGGGGTGTGTATATGGGTATATGTGTGTGTGGCCATGTGTATAAATGTATGTGTATGTGTGTGTGTGCATGTGTCAGGGTGTGTGTGGTTTCTGAATCCCCTCTGGAAACCCTGATAGGTCTCTGGCTGGCACATCTGAAAGGAGGTGGGTGTGGGCAAGAACACCAGCTTCCCAAGGGGACACTACTGCTGCCCACTGGCAGTCCGGCATCTCCAGCACATGACACCACCAGATGCTGCCTCTGTGGTGCAGGGCAGGATGCCTCGACCCCCAGCCTGGCATGGACAGGAGGTGGGGGTTATGCCAATCTCACCTTGGAGACATGAGGGTCCCTGCAGGTGGTGGCAGGGTAAGCTGAGGGCTGTTGTTGGACTTGGGCCCACAGTTCCCCTCCTGGCTGTCCCTTGTCCCAGCTGTTCTCCTCCCCCATCTGGGCACCCCTCTTCCAGCTGGGTCCCCTCTCCTGCTGGGTCCCCACCCCTGGCTGTCCCCCTCCCCTGACTGCGTTCCCCCGGCTAGACTCTCCTCCCCCAGCTAGACCACCTCCCCCAGGTGGGACCCGCCCCCGGCTGGGCTCTCCTCCCCTAGCTAGACCACCTCCCCCAGGTGGGACCCCTTCCCCTAGCTAGTTTGTCTCCCCTGGCTGGGGCCCCTCCACCAGCAGGGGCCCTCCCCTGACTGGGCCCTCCTCCCACCTGGGCCTCTCCTATCTGTTCTGATGAGTGACAGGAGCAGCCTTGGGAGCCATTTCTGAGTGAACCACTGATCAGGCGTTGCCATGAGGCTCCAAACTCAAGGCTCTGCAGAAGGGCACCCCAGATTGGGGAGAGGGGCCATCCCCTGGGGGCCTGGAACATTCACAGGGAGTTTTTAGTTTCTGCAACCCAACAGAGGTCTCTGACATTTCGAGGCAGGGGAGGACAGGCCAGGCAGACCATAACATGTTTTTAAAAAAATTTGTAGAGACAGGGTCTTGCTATATGGCCCAGGTGGTCTTAAAATCCTGGCCTCAACTCCACCTTTCAAAAAAGTCTTTGCAGCATGGGCCACAGGACAGGTGTTCTCAAGGCCTTTCTGTCTTCAAGGGAGTCCCTGGGTTTGCCTGATCACCAAAGGCAGGTCTGAGGATTTGGGGAAAGGGGACATAGTGACCAGTGGGACCACAGTGAGTGGCTGGCTCCCCCACTAAGGGAGTGGCAAGGGCTCTGGCTGCAGTGCTGGGGAGAGATGGGCATGGGTCCTAGGCCCTTGCAGAGTCCCACTCATCCGACACAGGGGTAGGGGCAACTTACCACAATGAGCACAATGACGGAGAGTGTATAATACACAGAGTCCCGGCACACAGCCCACCATGTCAGACGGACCACCTGCCAGACAGAGACTGTCACCGCTGGGAGGCAGGAGGGAGATCCCTCAGGCACCCTCTCACTCCAGAGCTCCCTCGTTCTTGGTTATGTTCCAGGAACAGGACAGACCAAGCAATGCTCTCAAGTGATGCACAACTGCCCCTGCCCGCCAAGGACACAACCACATACGTGTCACAGCAGATGCAGAGGTCACACCCTGTCCACCTGAGCCACACAGCTTGTGTAACGGGCAATGCCCCATCTACACAAGCCACCTGATAGGTGAGTGGGCACCTGCCCTGTCCACCCAAGCCCCCCAGCAGATGAGTGAGCATCCGCCTCATCCATCCGAGCCACCCAGCAGGTGCAATGGGTGCCCAACTCCACCCCCTTCAGCAAGGTTGGCCTCGCTCACATGTCCACCCCTCTGGGGTCAAGTCCAACATCCCCCTGCAGCTCTGAGGGCCTCTAATGGGGTATCCCCAGAAGCCCAGCTGCATCCCCACACTGGGAAGGCTGGGCTGGGGCCCAACAGCCTCTGGAGTCCTGCTCAGGGCCAGTGACAGTAGGTGTGTCTCACAGTCACTGCATGGACTGAGTACTCTTCTCCAGGCAGCCCGGCCACTGGAGTCCCAGACCCAAGACAGCTGCAGGTGGCCGGAGTACCAGGAGCCACGTCACACAGGTGGAAGCAGCTCAGAGCCCGGGAGCAACGGGCATAGCAAGGGCAGGCCCCGGGGGCCCCATGCTGCCCTGACCTCTTGTCACAGATGCACACCCACCTGGGGCAGCGTCCCCAGGCTGGGGAGGAACCACTGACCTGACCAGCAAACAGGCCGCACACACCAATGATGCAGAGGATGTTGAACACAGCGGAGCCCACGATGGTACCCACGCCGACATCCCCATGGGTGATGAACACGCCTGCAGAGAGAGACAGGAACCTGGCCCCAGTGCACCCCTTCCTTAGTGGTCCCTCACGGGGAAGTTGGTTGTGTGTCAGTAAGAGAAGTTGGTTGTGTGCCAGTGCCTGAGAAGATGGCAGGGCCGGTAGGGGAGGGAATGCACCCCTGTGACCAGCTGCTCCAGTCCTCCCAGCTTTATCAAGATGATCCACATGTTGTGAAACTCACCCACTTAAAGTGTACAAGTCAGAGGGTGTGGTCTGTTCACAGAATTGTGCAACCTACTTTCTAATGCAGAACATTTTCATCACCTGAAAAGAAGTCCTAGAACCCTGAGCACCGCACTCCACACCATGTCTCAAGGAAACACCAATCTACTTTCTGTCTCTCCTACTCCCGTTTTTTGTTTTTGAGTTGAAGTCTCACTCTGTCACCCAGGCTGGAGTGCAGTGGCACAGTCACAGCTCACTGCAGGCTCCAATTCCTAGTCTCTGGGGATCCTTCCGCTTCAGCCTCCCAAGTAGCTGGGATTATAAGCATCATTGTGCCTGGCTAATGTTGTGATTTCTTTGTAGAGATGAGGTCTCCTTATTTTGCCCAGGCTAGCCTCCAACTCCTGGGCTCGAGTGATCCTACTACCTCAGCCTCCCAGAGTGTTGGGATTGCAGGCTTGAACCACTGTGGCCTTCCTAACTCCTGCATTTTACAGAGGGAAAAACTGAGGCTTGGTGTTGGCAAACGCCCTACTGCTCAGGGTGCCTGGGCTCTCTCCAGACCTGGCCAGGTGGGGGTTTCTCACCAATGACAGAGGCAAACAACTCAGGTGTCGAGCTTCCTGCAGCCATGAAGGTGGCCCCAGCCACATCTTCGCTCAGATGGAGTCTCTGAAATAGAAGGGACCGGGGCTGTGTGGCGGGAACACAGTAATCAGAGACCCCAACAGTCAAGAAGCGAGCAGGGAGCCGAGCCAAGGCCAGTGCCAGGCTCCTCAGCTGCAGCCTTCCCCAGGACACTGAGCACCTGCCTCACCAGGCCTCCAGTTCCAAACCCTCTGCCCTCCACACCCATCTACTTTCTGTTCATCTTCTAAGCACTAGACCATATAATGCCTCTGGAATGATCTGCCTCATGTCCCTCCAGAGCCGACTGCTCCCCTCGGACGCACCAGGCTGGACTCTTCATTATAAACACGAATTCCACCCGAGGAGCTACAGTCCATGCCTGCCTTGCCCCAAATGACACAGGTAGCGGCTGGCCTCTTCACCTTGGGATCCTATGCCTAGAGCTGGTCTGTACACAGTGGCGCTCTACAGGGGCACACCAGTCTAGTGACCATCCCCTCCCAGGTAGGTTTTGGGTTCCAGGGTTTCTCTGAAATACCATGACTGTGGGATCCAGGGGCCCCACACTTAGATGGTCCTGCACCCTGGAAGGCCCCTCCACAGCAAGCTCAACTTGGGAGGCCCACAGAGGTTCAGAGGTTCTGCTCCCAGGGCCGAGACAGCCCAGAACAAGCTGGGATCTCCTGGCCAGGGCTCACTCTGTTCATCGAGGCCATGTTTGGGCCAGCATAGTGCTGAGGGCTTTGGACACTGGAGACCCCATGGAGACCCAGGGTCACCTGAACCCCAACTCAAAGGCACCCAGCTGTGGTACTCAGCTGGCCCCTCAGAACAGCACTCAGTTCCTTGTTTCCAAAGGATCCTGGGGCAGCCCTGGGCTCTGAGTCATGGAGGAGCCCCAGGTCAGCATGCCCCTCCCCCCGTCACCAGTCAGTCAGCCACAGCTGGGGTACACAGGAGGTTCAAAAGCTGGGTGGGGATGCAGCACCAATGCCCAAGGCAGCACCTGGCCACCCTAACCCTGCCAGAAGGCAAGGTTTCACAGATGCTGCCACCCAAGAATCTCCAAACTCTCTTGACAAGAGCCACACCAGGCACCTCCTGTCCTGCCTCCTCCCGCCACTGCCCAGGCCATTCTTCCTGCCTGGAATACCCTCTCCTCCCTCTCTGCTCACTGAACTCCTTCCCACTTACAAAGTTTGGACCATTGCCATCTCGTCCATGAAGTCTCCTTGGGTCTCTCCCTCATCTTCTGCTATCTCTCACTGAGTCCCTCACATGGGCCTCCCTATAGGGCTGAGACTCTTAGCCTTAGGGATACAGTGACCCCAAGGGATGCCTGTACCACTCCCGCAGGTAACCCTGGGCCAGCTACCCCTTTCCATGGGTTCCTGTCAACCCCAGTGGGGCAGAGCCCTGACCCCACTGCTGTAGTCTCCCAGTGGCACCTGGGTGTGTATTCAGTAAGGGTCAGTGGTATGTCCTTCTTGAGGGCCATCTTGTAGCACTGTGTCCCCAGAGCACTCCCCCACAGGCCTCAATGGACCCTGCACAGACATCCAGGGGCATTTCCTGCCTGTGTTATCCCCGCCCCTGGTTCCATTTCTCTCTAACCAGTGTCCAGCAGAGTCAGACATGTGGCTGGGCCTGAGGGGAAGCCTTGACTCCTCCGCCACATCACAGTCTGGCCAGCCCGGGTCCTCAGCAACCTGGCTGCCTCTGTAGGGACACCAGCTCATGAGCTCACCCAGCAGCAGAAGGGTCACGGGGAGCACCTGCCACACCCATACTCCCAGTTGCACATCCCCCATAACAGTGGGGGGGGGTCAAGGGAAGGTCATGGGAAGGTCACAAGGAGCATCTGCCACACCCCATGCTCTCAGTTGCACAGCCACCATGACAGCAGGAAGGTCACATGAAGATCATGGGAAGGTCACAGAAAGGTCACAGGGAGCTGCAAACCCACCATGACAGCAGGGAGGTCACGGAGTGTCACAGGAAGCTTCACAGGGAGCACCTGCCACACCTGCACTCCTGGCTGCACACCCACTATGACAGCAGAAAGGTCATGGGGAGGTCATGGAGAGGTCACAGGAAGGTCACAGGGAGCTCCAGCCATGCCTGGGTTCCCAGCTGCACACTCACCATAATAGCAGGAAGGTTATGGGGAGGTCACAGGGAGCACCCACCACTCCCGTGCTCCCAGCTGCACACCCACCGCGACAAGGTCCTGAAAGCCGAGGCTCCACAGGATGTGGTGGGGAGTGCCGCACACGGTGCTACAGCAGAGGCTGAACTCCCTTCTCAACTAGATGCCAGGAGGAAGGCAGAGCACAGGGCAGATGGGGCTCATGGGTGGAGAAACCAGGAGCAGCAGAAGAACCCAGCAGAACACACACTGCCGAAGCCCGGGACGGGACCTCCTGCACGGTAGCCCCCACCTCCATGGACTCAGCGCCCACCTGCTCCTGGCCACCAGCCCTGGTGGTGGGAATGGCTGCAGCGCAGCCTTGGGCCTGTGAGGGCCCCTCACCAGGAGGAGTCAGCACGTGAGGTTGTCTGGGTGGCCCGGGGCGAGGAGTCCAGCTCAACACACATAGCTGTCTGGGTGGCCATGAGCAAGGAGTCCACACTGGGGTTGGCACTGAGACTACCTGGATGGCCACGGGCAAGAAGTCCATGCTGGGAGCTTTTCTTCCATAAGGATACAGTCTACCCACACTCACCATGGGTTCCAGTGAGTGTTCGCACAGGCAGATGCTGAACACTCAGTGAGCCCACTGGCGCCCCCTGCCGACCCTGTCTTCTCCACCTATACTACGCCAGGTGTCCTCAGTCACCCCAACCCAGGCTTCCCAAGGAGTCCTACATTCCCTCCCACATACCTCGCAGATCTTCTCCAGAGATGGGACGAAGAAGTCATCGCACACAATAGCCAAGGCATAGAACATGTATAGAGCCTGTGGGAGACAGAGCAGGTTGGCAGCACACTGGCTGAGGGCACTGGGTCAGGTGGCAGCAGATTGAGGGGTAGCAGGCTGGAGGACAGCGGGTCAGAGGACACCAGGCTGGGGGGCACCAGGTCAGGGGACAGCAAGTTGGGGGAACCGGGTTAGGGGGCATTGGATCAAAGGACACTAGGTCAGAGGGAACCTGCTGTGGCTGCCAGGGGACACCCCCACCATACAGACAGAGCTGGGCACAGAGGAAAACTCCAGCACCATAGAGTTTTGCTCCCCAATCCCTTCACTGGCAAATGGGGAAACTGAGGCCCAAGGAGGCGAAATAACACACTCGCGATAGAGGGGACTAAACTCAGGCCCTGGGGCACCAGGTTCCTTCCACCCCATGATCCTGTGACTTGATGAGAAATGTTTCTCCTCTGTCTGGTTTCCCGGACACAGTTCCTGCAGCCCTTGGACAGTCACATGTGTGCTCATGGTGACTGGGGCCAGTCAACCCCTGCAGCTTCAGGCGGGGTTGGTCACAGAGAGACTGAGGCAGGAGAGTGTTGTTCAACCGCATCCCCAACCTGGCGGCAAAGGCTGAACTGTTCACTCACCAGTGAGTGCTGTCACCCCCATGTATGGAAGCCCCCACAAAACCCTCAAGGATGGGGCTTGAGTGCTTCCAGACAGCTGATCCCAGAAGGAAGGGAGGGCAAAAAAGAAACCAACAGCACATGTAGATAAGGCAGGGAGAAAGGGTGAGACCCCACTCTGAGGCTCAGGATCAAGATTCAGTCCACACTACAGCAATCCCACCAACACCACCTCCTGGAGGCCAAGGGGACTCTTTCTCCTCTGATGTGCCCAGAAACACAGAGAGGAAAGAGAGGCCAAGACAACACCTAGTTTCCATCCCAGGAACCAGGGAGTATTGTGGCCAGCCTGGCTCTTGAGCCAGGGCCCTACTGAGCTCTAAGAAGGGTCAACACCTGTCTACTAACTCAGAGCAGAAAAAGAGAAAGAATGGCCACACAGGGCAGATAGTAAGGCTGCAGCCTCTGCAGCCAGATGGTTCCTGGAAACTCCTATGCTATCCGAACAAGAGCAGCCTCAGAACGCATGTGGCTGATTCCAGCAAAACTTTATTTGTCAGAAGAGGTAGTGGACAGGACTCGGTTCTCTGGTGCAGCTAGTCACCCTGTGCTGAAGGGTCCTCAGAGTTCCCAAGGCACACCCAAGTTCAACAAAACCTGAAGTTTTGTCTCAGCTGTGCCAAGATGGGAACATGGAACTCAATGTGCCAGAAGCACCAGGGAAGCTAGAAGAACGTAACTTCAGTGTAGAAACAGCAAAGGGCCTGTGACTCAGCACACGCCACACCCTCACTCCAACCTTCACTTCCACAGTGGCATGTCTTGTTCACTAAGCTCTGCTCATTCACTGATCTCACATGGTTACTATCTACAAGGGAATTCCAGATTTCACTTTCTTGACTGTCTCTCTCAAAGATGAGTGCTGGCTGAGTTTGACCACACAAGCAGGTGCCGCCAACTGGAAAGCTGATCGGGGCAAAGTCTGCTGTGGATAATCCAAAGTTGAGAAGCACCCCTTGACCATCTTCACTCCCTCACACCGCACAATGGTCAGCAGACTTTCTATAAAGGGCCAAGGGTGAGCACTCTTGGCTCTGTGGACCTTGAGTCTCTGATGCACCTACTAAGCTCTGTCACTGAAACACAGAAGAAGCCATAGATGATACAGACACGGGCAGGAGTGCTTGTGTTCCAATAAAAGTTTGTTTACAAAGCAGGTGGCTGGGAGACCCTACTGGGGCTGTGACTTGCCTATCCCAGCACAGAAGAAGGACCCTCCATGCCTGGGCCAGCCCTGGTACCAGTAGGTTCCCAATAGACCTTAGCAATCAACCGAATAAACAAAGGTAAAATATCAACAAAAACAAAAAATATCAACAAAAATCTATCATCTCGTCCTATTAGAACACTTTTATTATCCTTGCAAACCCCTCAATGAACATCATTTGAACCTGTTCTTCCTTTTGGGATGACCACTTGAATGCCACCATGTGTCAATAAGGTACATCTGAACACAGAGGGCATTTGAGAAGATGCATACCAAGGTTTTAAATGACAGAAGCTCCCCGACTCACAAACCCACATAAGTTGAAAATACCATAAGTCAGAACTGAGCTGAATCTATCTGACCCACCAAGCACCCTGGCTTGGTCTCCCTCCCTGACATGCTCAGAGCACTCACATCTGCCCATGGCCAGGCAAGGTCATCAGCAATACAGCACTGGAGAGCATAGCACTCACCCAGGAAAAGGCCAATACCCCAAAATTCTAAGTATGGTTTCTACCAAATCACCTCACTTCTGTATCACTATGAAGCTGAAAATCATCAGTGACATTGTTGTAAGTCAGGACCAACTGAGTGGCGATGCAGAGGTGGTAAAATGCAGGAGCAGTCAGACGGTGAGAGCCCGTATCCACAGGGTTCACTGTGTGCAGCATCATGTACTTACATATCTGGAGCAGGTTCCACTGCCCTAACTCATAAAAGTAGAAAATGGGCGCAGGAAAGACCCACACCTTGTGCTGGCTCTGGGGTTATGAGTTGCATGAAACTGGAGTCACCTGACACACTGAAGACACTGCGTCTTTGCGAGTAGAATGGGCCTGCACCTGCTCTCCTTGTGGGGAAGGGCCATAACGATGAAAGGAGACCCAGAAGCACTCAGCTCTGCCACCCACACAGACGGCTCTGCAAGCTGGGAGTCAGCAACATGCATGGGGCCACTTACACCAAGGATGTGCAGCAGGACGGCTCCATGCTGTCGCTCCCTGTTGGAGAACAGGTCTGTGGGGAACTCATGGATTGCTGCAAGACAAGAGATGCAGAGCATTATTCACCGAGAGCCTCCCAACCAGCCTCTCCTTACTTTTGGGAATCCATGCAAGAGTTGATGGCAGGCCTCCCAACAAGCCTCCCTTGACTTCTGGGAGTCCACAGAGCCCACCTGGCTGTGCTAAGCACAGAGAGGACTAGCACTTTCTCAGTCCAGGGCAGACCAGTTCTCTCGGGAAAGGATGCTGAAACTGGATCACCCATAGATCTTCTAGCACCTTAGAGTCAATCACCAAACAATAAGAGCCACCATAGACATAGCAATCTTACTCCAAGTGCATGCCCAAGACAAATGGACACACATTCACACAAAGACTCATTTGTGAACACCCACAGCCCTATGATTTATAACAGTCAAATTGTGGAAACAATCCAAGTCAAGTGCTCAGGGTTTGAGCACCTCCTTTCCCCCAAGCCACTCTGAGCATTTGTCTGTCTCAGATGTTCATGGGTAACAGAGGAATAGCCCACTCACCTCCCCCATACATTCAAAACAACCAGTGATGAGCACTTCATGACCAAATGCATACATAAATGAGCATCATTTCTACAAATCCCCACTGAGACACCCCAGATCCCCATGAAGGCTTGGCACATCAGCTAGACCGGAAGATTCCAGAAGGCAGGGAGTCACACAGCCCTGTACATGACAACACCCTCCATTCCTGGGTCAGCCCTGGTACCAGTGGGTTCCCAATAGACCTTAGCAATCAACCGAAGAAACAAAGGTAAAATATCAACAAAAACAACAATCATCTCATCCTTAGAACACTTTTATTATCCTTGCAAACTCCTCAAGTACCTGTATGACACCTGACTCATGGTGGGTGCTCTATAAATGTTTGTTAAATAAACTTCCAGGACAGAAAACCCTTCCCTGTAAATATAATTTGGTCTTAACCTCTGAAAACAATGTTTTCTCCCTTATATGTACACTTTTCTGATTTTTAAGATCCAGTTATCCCAGGAAGATGCAGAAAACACCAGCTCCCCAGACACCCAGAAAACGTTCCCACTTTGAACCAAGCAGCATTTCATGAAAAATGGCTCCTTTTACTTCTCTCACTACACTCTCTTTTTTGTAATCAAACTTCTTAAATAGAATTACTGCTGTCAGTTAAGAACGCAGATCTGCTTCAAAGTCTGCTGGTTCAGAGATAAAGAATCACGAAGAGAGAGACTCCTCTTTCAAGGCCAAGGCAGAGACAGAGAATCACAAAGGGAAAGATTCCCCTTCCAAGGCCAAGGTCAGAGATGGAGAATTGTGAAGGGGAAGACTCTCCTTCTAAGGCCAGGGTCAGAGACAGAGGATGATGAAGGGAGAGACTCCCCTTCCAAGGCCAAGGTCAGAAACAGAGAATCATGAAGAGAAAGACTCCCCTTCCAAGGCCAAGGTAAGAGGCAGGGAATTGTGAAGGGACAGACTCCTCTTCCAAGGCCAAGGTCAGAGACAGAGATGGAGAATCATGAAGGAAGAGACTCCCCTTCCAAGGCTAAGACAGATACGGAGAATCATGAAGGGAGAGATTTCCCTTCCAAAGCCAAGGTCAGAGATGGAAAATCATGAAGGGAGAGACTCCCCTTACAAGTCCAAGGTCAGAGACAGAATCATGAAGGGAGAGACTTTTCTTCCAAGATCAAGACAGAGATGGAGAATCATGAAGGGAGAGATTCCCCTTCCAAGGCCAAGGTTAAAGACAGAGAATCATGAAGGGAGAGACTCCCCTTCTAAGGCTAAGACAGAGACGGAGAATCATGAAGGGAGAGACTCTCTTTTCAAGGCCAAGATCAGAGACAGAGAATCATGAAGTGAAAGACTCCCCTTCCTAGGTCAAGGTCAGAGACAGAGAATCATGAAGAGAGAGACTTCTCTTTCCAAGGCCAAGGTCTCACCTCTGGGAGAAATGCTGCTGTCTGGCATATTTCACTGCAGATCAAGACAATTCTGCCATGGAAATTCCAGATGTTTCCTGATTCTCCAAAGCAGTGTCTCAAGAACTTGTGATTTAACCAATCATGGGAATTAGAATGACATCTCTGAAAACTTCTGAAATATTAGAATAACAAGCCATCTTTGTACTGCTGAGGATACAGGTCTGACCTCCATCAGCAGGGGATGTGGGCTAGAAGCGAATTTGCCCTTGGTAGGAACGGGCTCCTGTCTCTCTGTCCTGCCTCATACTATGCACTACTTCCCTGTGTGCAGGCTGGGGGCCATGAAGGACAGTGGATATCACCCATGGCTTTAATCTTGCCAGCAAAGTCAGCAGGCCCATGGCAGAGCTCCCAGTGCCATGACCCACCACCCTCATCCCCCTGGTATGTCCTGAACCCATGTGCAGGCACCACGGCTGTTAACAGTCCTGTCTTCAGACAAGAACAAAGAGGGCCATGACCATATAGCATGGGGCACCTGCCTATATGCCAGGACTCATAGTGGGACCCTGTGTCCCTTGTCCAGGGCTGGAACTGCCCCTGGCACTGAGATGGTCCAGTCAAGTGAAATCAGGCTACACAGTAGACTAGAGCCCTGGCTTGACCACCTGTGAGTATGCATGACTCTGGCCACATGTCCTCTGCACCCTCTGCCTCTCAGAGTAATCTGTTACATAAAGGCAAGGTGATGAGGTGACAGAACAGCTCCCCCCCCCCGTGGCTTGTGGTCTGCCCTGGCCTGGTCACCAAAGCTGCATGTGGGTAGAGATCTATCTACCCTCTCCAGCTGGCCACTGACAGCTGGGACCAGCCACTCCCAGTCTAAGTGTTGAATCTTCTAGATGGGGGCAGCATGGGGGTAGGGTGCAGACCACCTGGCTCCCCAGTGGGACTTCTGGTCTCTCACACCTGCCACCAACTCAAACTACTGCTACCCTGCATGGTGGCTTAAGAAGTAGGTAGACACAGGTTTCAGGAAGGGCCTCTGTGACCTATGTGACCTTGGCAAGTGGCTTAACACCTGTTCCCCTACCATGACAGGGTCACAGCAGAAGCTGGTGGTTATCAAGAGACAATGTAAGCACAGCACTGGGTGCAGTAAATTTACAGACTCACCTCTTCCTGTGCTTTCTGTCCCCAGTGCCATGGGACACACAGTCTCCATATGCGAAGAAAAAGAGAGGGAAAAACCAGCCTAGTAGGGAAAGAGAGCAAGAGAATGAACAAGAGAGAGGAGTGAGAGGAAGGGAGGGAGGAAGAAGGGAGGGAGGGAGGGAGGGAGGGAAGGAGGGAGAGAGAAGGGGTATGGGGGAGAGAGAGATATGGAGGGAGAGAGGGAGTACACAGGAGAGGAGAGAGAAGAAGAGAGGGAGGGAGAGAGGCAGAAAGAGGGGGGAGGGAAGAGAAAGGAGAGAGGGAGGGAGGGAGAAAGAGAAAAGATAGAGGAGAGAGACAGAGAGAGAGAGGGAGAGAAGAGAGGAGACAGGGAGAAAGGAGAGGGAGAGAGACAGAGAAAGATAGAGACACAGAGAAATAGACCAGACACCCAGTTTAATCTGAATGATGGGGTGGTTTAATCCCAGGCTCCTGGGAAACCTTTCTTCTCCTGCAGGCTTACTGTGATCAGGAGCTACTGGCTCTCGTGCCTGGGAGGGACTGTGCCTGCCCCGCCTGCTCAAATCCCCAAAAGGAGGAGGGAGGATCAGCAGGGCACATGCGGAGGCTTTCGAGGTCATGCTAAGCCTTTAAGCTGCAGAAATCTGGAGGTGGTGTAGGGAGGGGAGAGCATGTCTGCAGGTGTGACAGGCTCAAGGAACCTGGTGATCCCAGCACTCTCATATCCCAGGGATGTGGGAGAGGGAAGGGTGGAAGGCAGCCACTCCCATTGCCCTCTGATGTCATGCCCAGAGGGGGTTCACCAGCATGCTGGGTCCTAGGCACATCCGGTGTCCACACACCTCCGGTACCTGCCTCTTTCCACGTATCCATCCTCACTCTGTGCAGGCCCAGGGAGCTGGGGGGACTCCCCGCCAGTGCTGTCCTGAACTCTGGAGTGGCAACCCCTGGGCCCTGGGGAAAAGCACCTCTACCCCCCAGCACCCACAGTCACCACCCAGCAGCCCCACGGCTCCCTTGAGTTTCTTTATTTACCCGCAGAAAGCTACACAGGTGATGCTCCAATTAGCATCACCCTTCAAGGCTCCACCATACTTCTGCCAGCATTGCTACTAGTTCTCAAATGTATGAATTTATTCCAATTATTCATAGAGCACCCACTTGGGGAACACTGGACTCCCCAGGATCTGCTGGGTAAGACTATGATGTATTCTGTGTCCTCAAGCAAGGCAGCACTTCATCTTGGAGGGCGACTTGACTTTGGAGAAAGGCAAAGACATTCAGAAAGTTGTAGGTTATCAAGATGGAAATTCCAGCTGAGTATGGTGGCTTACACCTGTAATCCCTGCACTTTGGGAGGCCAAGGTAGGGGGATTGCTTGAGCCCAGGAGTCCAGACCAGCCTAGGTAATATAGCGAGACTTCATCCCCACTGGGAAAAAAAAAGCTGGCTGGGTGTGGTGGTGCATGCCTGTAGTCACAGTTACTCGAGAGGCTGAGGTGGAAGGATGGCCTGAGCCCAGGTCAAGGCTGTGGTAAGCTGTAATCATGCCACTGCAGATCAGCCAGGGTGACATAACAAAACCTGAAGGACAGAACAAAACCTGAGAGGGACTGTGCCTGCCCCACCTGCTCAAATCCCCAGAAGCAGGAGGATTGAAAATCCTCAAGGATTGAAAATGCCTTGATCCTGAAAGCCAATTCCCATTTCTTGAACATTTATTATGTGCCTGATACTAGCCTGGGACTGAGTCGCGAGGATGTGCCTGGTCTGGAGCAGGTGGACAAGCAAGCAGATGATGGAGAGGCTGTGAGAAACTTGGGTGATGTGATAGATACGCCAGGGTCACTGCCTGGGGGCAAGGAACACACCGCCCACCAGGGAGAACATGGCGCAGTGCCACGCCTTGAGACTGAAAGCTC